CTAATACTTTCCTTGTGTCTTTGGTGTTCTTCATTCTCTTTTACTCCAGGTGTTTGGGACCAATTGATGCATCTTAGATGGCTGCTTGCAAGCTTTTAAGACCCCAGATGCCACTCATCAAAGTAGGATGCAGAACATTTTCTTAATAAGCTTTGTTATGCCAGCTAACCCAGATGTCCCCTGAAAGCATGGTCCCCAGAGCCCTACCCCTGCTAATCTGTCCCTCAAAGTGTTTAACTGTATTCAGGAAACTTCTTCACTTTGGTTTAGTCCAGCTGTGCTGACTTCCCCCTGTAGTGTGTGCTGTCCTTCCCTTCACCTAAGGTAATTCTTATCTACTATCTGGTTAGTAAATAACCCTCATCCTCCCTCCCCACCCTCGTAACCATCAAAGAATGTTTCCTTCTGTGTTTAAACCTTGAGTTCTTATAATAGCGGTCTTAAACAATATTTGTCCTTCTGTGACTGACTAAATTCACTCAACATCAATGCCCTCTAGATTCCTCCATGTTTATGTTTCATAGCTTCATCATTGTTCTTTATCACTGCGTAGTACTCCATGGTGTGGATATACCATGAGTTGTTTATCCATTCGTTTGCTGATGGGCACCTAGGTTGTTTCCATCTTTTTGCTATGGTGAATAGCGCTGCAATGAACATGGGTGTGCACATTTCTATTCGTGTGACGGCTCTTATTTCTCTAGAATATATTACAAGGAGCTAGAGAGCTGTATCTTACGGTACTTCTATTTCTAGCTTTTTAAAGAAGCACCAAATCGATTTCCAAAGTGGTTGTACCATTTTATGTTCCCAAAAACAGTGTATAAGTGTTCCAGTCTGTCCACAACCTCTCCAGCATTTATCATTTTGTTTTTTTTTTTTGGATTAATGCTAGCCTTGTTGGGGTGAGATGATATCTCGTAGTTTTGATCTGCATTTCTCTAATGGATAATGATCGTGAGCATTTCTTCATGTGTCTGTTAGCTGCCTGAATATCTTCTTTGGCAAAGTGCCTGTTCATATCCCTTGCCCATTTTTGAAGTCTTTTGATGAGCATAGTGTTTGATTTTTAGGAGCTCTCATTTATCTAGTCTTTCTTCTAGTGCTTGTGCATTATTACTTTATGGTTTGTATTGTGTTTATGTCAGGTATTAGGGCTCCTAGCATTGTCCCTATTTTTCCTTCTATGATCTTTATGGTTTTCGATTTTGTATTTAAGTCTTTGATACATTTTGAGTTAGTTTTTGTGCATGGTGTGACGTATGGGTCTTGTTTCAGTTTTTTGCAGATGGATATCCAGTTATGCCAGCACCATTTGTTAAAGAGACTGTCTTTTCCCCAATTAATGGACTCTGG